CATGTTTTGCTATCCATTCACACAAATTCGTTAAGTTAGTCAAAGTTTTTACCCTGCTTCTCTTACCTTCCTCATATGAGTGTTAAATTTTCCTAGCCCTCTTTTCTCATTACGTGTCCTAAAAATTTAAACTCTTTCTGGTTTTAAGTATAAGTTTCCTTTTAGTTAGTTTATTTGACGTATACAAATGGAACTATAAGTGCCTGCGAAACGTCGTCAAAATTTTTAAACAGCAAACGACAAGTCTTTAAATATTCAAAAATTGAAAAACGAATTACAATCACAGACCCTGAGCTTGATATTGACCAGAAACAACGTTTTAAAAGTGAAAGACCAGAAAACATTTGAGCAATATTTACATTCCAGACTCGTGTTCACTTTTACGTAAAATTGAAAAAAAAAAAAGATATTAAAACTCATTTTTTGTCTTCAAAAGGCGTCCGTGTGTATTATTTATACCATGTCACTTCAGGGCGTTGTCATGAGTTCTTGGGAAAGATAGTGGAGTAGTTTTCCCTCGCCTTCTCTACGATTTTTAATTCGGAATAGTTTTCCACCTAGGCTAGAGAGTTTACTGTGCTATTTAATCTAAATCTTGTAGAAGAGATTAATTCTTCCCCCCACCCACCATGAGCATTTATGTTAAGGTGAATGTAGCAGACGAGGCATGAAGTTGAACTAGGCCGATTAAACTTTCCGCATGCACCCCCACCCCACACACATATCTCATTATATTAATTCATAGAGTCTAGAAGAATCCTCAACAGAATGCACAAAGCGCTGGGTGGTCGTTTCGTCCTATTTTGGGACTCATCAGCAGTGCACATCCACTACCGAGATTTGAAACCGTACCGTTTCAATCCAGCTAATGCCTTGCGATAGAGCGGTTCAGGAGAAAAGGAAAGTCGTGGCTCTTGGGGCACAATCCGTTGGGTTATGAATACTTGAATGAGTATCACCACGGAATTTCTGAATAGCGGCGCTATATAGAGTCTATTCAGTTTCTTCTTCGTTATTGTTGGTATGACGCTTGCGTTGTATCGAAACGGTACGAGTTCGAATCTCGGTAGCTGATGAGTCCCAAAATAGGACGAAACGGCCGTCTAGTGCTTTCTGCATTCTGTTGAGGAATCTTCTAGACTCGATGAATTACAATAATGATTTGCCTAATTCCCCCAAAATTCTATTACTTATATATATATATATATATATATATATATATATATAATTTACTAATTTAAAAATATGGTTCCATAACTACACAGGAATTACCATATTTCAAAAACAGAAACTAAAAACTTCAGATTCAGTTATAGAATGAAATTAAAGTCCCTAGTCCGGTTTCATTTTGAAATAACTTATTTTGAATTTTACTGAATTTTATAGGCACATACATTCATAATATTAGTTTCTAAGGATACGGGGAAATTCAATCATTTTGACAATCGGCGTTGGGGGGGGTGTTCATTTTCACTAACTACTAATATCAAAATATGAGTTACTTTCGAAAAGACGTTAATTTATTTATGCTCTGTAGATTTGCATTGAGCACTGTTTTGTAAAAATAAAAATAATTAATAAGAACACCAGATTATATATCTTACTGTTCTTTCTCTTTATTATAATATATATATATATATATATATATATATCCTATATATATATCTGCGACTGTCTACAACGCAAGAAAGCCCAGTCTTACGCCTCATCAATCTTTTGTAGGTTATTTAAAGTCAGAAAATATTTTTGTAAGCATATTTGGGAGATGATAATGTTTTTTACTGGTACAAGTACTACTATTTAACCCATAGCTGGGAGAATGATATAGAGAATGGAAAGAGACTGGCTGCATTCCCTATGGATATTTCACCGAAAAAATATAATATTTTTGTAGTTATTTTACAACTCCTATGTTAAAAACTCCATGAGTTAAATTTATGAACAAATTGGATTTAAAGGGTTTATTGTTAAGGGATTCTTTTTTTTTTTATTTTTTTTGTCTTAAAATATTTTATGACATGTCTTATAGAATATCATATTTATTATCGAATTACATCCTAAAGAAATAAGATCTTAAAAGAATTTCTTTTTATCCGCCTTCAATAAATAAGATTTTGTTCATAAAAATCATTTTTTTAAATTACATTTACTTGCGATACTGAAATCCGATAGCCAAATATGCCTTCTAAAATCTAAGGAAAGTATTAAACTGAAAAAAATGTAAATGGCGCAGCCAATCGTATTCGAGGATGCCAGTCTTTTAGGGCGGCTACCTAATCCCCATTACAGACGCCCAGGTACATTTGTGTTTGTTTAACACACAAACACACACACACACACACAGCCCACCGGTGGTTTATACTTATTTACAGTTTCTGGGAGAGAGCGTGTTATCTAACATGATCAACAGCCTGAACAAGGCCATCACGCTCAAACCATCGGTCACGATGACTTATGACTTCGTGTTAGCACAACCACCATTTCACTAACAAGGCTTGGGTCAACCCGTAGTATGGTCTTCAGGTACTTTCCAAAGGGATCGCCTCCTCCAGAACTATAACATCAAGAAGTTATCTTCCTGACAAATCGACCATGGTGCGATTCGAACCCGGGTCTCAAGGTTAGAAAGCGAACGTTCTAACCACGTGCCCATTAAACAGGACAATTTCATTAGAAGGGTACTAAACTGTTACGTATTATCAATCCATTTATATGGTAGCGAATGATGGACAATTTCCACAGAAGAGACTTTGAGCAACAGAGATGTGGTTCTACAGAAGAATGGCCGGAATATGTGAGCCATGACGAAGTTTCAGAAAAAATGCAAACAAAAAGGATACTTATACTTAACATCAGAAAGAGACAGTAGAAAGTTCTAGAGCACATAATGAAAAAAAGGGCACGAAAAATTCGATACTCTCGTGACAGATTGAAGGCAAGAGGAAAACAACGCGTAACCTACATAGCGACCTTGAGTAAATAGATGGCAGAAGACGATTTAGAAGAGATAATAAAAGATAAAATTTATTAACAACTATAAAGGACAGAAAATTGTGGAGAGCCATGATCGCGTACGTCATGAAAGGATACGGCACATAAAAAAGAAAGACATTGTACTTATCTTTGTCAGGTACGCACGCACATACTTCTAACTTTGATTTTCTATGATGCTGAGAAATGGAATTAACTTTCATTGCGATCACTGAATGACTTAAGTATAGAGGATTCATTTCGTAAACGTTTAATAAAATATCAATTTATTACGAAACCTAGAATTACAGATATACGTGGTAATTTAATAGTGAAAGAAAATGTTTCTGTATGGCATTTAATCATAGAACATGCAATTTTTAAAGCAGACCCAGCAACAAAATCCATTTCCAATAATTGCATTGTTATGATGATAACATTTGAAAACTTTCTGTTCCCCCGAAAGGTATGTAGACAAACATAACTTTTGAACAATCCTCCAAAACTTTGCGAGTTCGTTTACTTTATAGATTTGCGTGCACAAGGCTAAATTTCTCCGTAAAGTAGAAATGAAGAATATATGATTACTTTTAACTGGATCAACTAAAGGACAGATGGCGGGAAGTAGTGGGGAAAGTCCCCAACACAAGAGAACGTATTTCACCGGCTGTGAGTTGCATCTTGTGTCTTAGCTTTCTTTACAAGATACGGAGTTATGATGCAGCTGATTAGATTGTAGGCACTTTTCTTGATGATAACTGCTCGGTCCTTAAGTTTGCTATGAAGAACATCAAAAAGAAGGAGAACGTGTTTATTGAATTCCTCTGTGTTTGGAAGCTTGTCAGGTATCCGTAGATCTATCGCCATGCATGTTTTCCGCCCTCTTTCACCCTCCTCAAATCCAGAAATTCGTATGTATTTGCCAGGCCAAAAGACCGACCGCCTGCCACGGTAAAGTCAGTTTACAAACTCGGCGTTAGTTGATTGAAAAACACAGCAATGAATACGCACTGAATGTGCATTCAATTTTAACATATGCTGTCTACGGTTGCGATGCGATGAGTATACGGATGTGTGGTGGTCTTTCTTTCCTTTGAGATCACAAACTGCAAATCCCCTGTCATCCGACTAACAATGCAACTCTTCCATTGGGTAACAAAAAAAAGAATACCTACACACGCACACAAACCAAAACAATGACATAAAATGAAAAAAAAACAAAGGACATGTAAATAAAAAAAAAAAAAAAAAAAAAAAATTGAAAGAATGTACGATTGAATGACAGAAAAGAAAACATCATTTTACAAAAAGAATGAAGCAGAACAAAAAGCCTGGATGAGAAAGCGAAAAGGGGAGGGGAAAAAGATGGAGGAGGAGTAGATGATGAGAATAATATAAGAGTAAAAAAAAAAGCGAGAAATAAGTCGAAGACAAGCATAAGGTTTTTTTAGCCAATAATATATGGCTGCTAGCTTCTGGAGACATTCAAAGCATTTCATCTAGATAATAAAAAGGTTTTTCGTCTTGTGAATATGTGCGCATACGCGCGCATATAAGTAGATATTGGGCGAATGTGTGTGTGTGATCATAAATATTGGATTATATATGATTGCAAGGATGTCCGCGTATCTCTTCTTTTCTACATACACACGAATATAAGCGCACAAGCATATTTGCTTATATATATATGTGTGTGTGTATTCTGAATATGTTATATGTATTTTACTATATAGATGTGTGTGAGATGTAATGTCATTTACAAAGAAGTATATATATATATATTGTATCTTCATATCTGTTTTTTTTCCTTTAAGAAGCAGTTAGTATATTCAGCGCTTCGATAGTCAGTTCACAAAACACATACACACAAAATAATCCGGGCGGTAATCTGTGTGTGAGTAAGTAATGTTGTTAGAGTGGAATTGCTTTGTGAATGACTTATGATATAAAAAAATAATAATGAAATAATTCCCATCTATGACAACTTGATGACATTTCTTCTTTCTCCTCCCAACCTAAAATAACTAAACAAGAATATTGACAGAGAATAAAGAGAGAAAGGAAAATGAGAGAAAGAAAGAAAGAAAGATGGCGAGGGAAAAATCAAAAGAGAGAAGAGAGCTGATCAGAAAAGAAAGATAAAAAAAAAAATTTCAAAGAAAAAAGAAATAGAAACGAGAAATAAAGAATGAAGGGGAAACGAATCAAGAAAGTAAGAAAAGTTCAAAAATAAATAAATAAAGAAAGAAAGAAAAGAGAAAAAAGAAAAGAGAAAGAAAAGAAGAGAAGAGAAAGAAAAAAGAAAGAAGAGAAGAGAAAGAAAAGAGAAAGAAGAGAAGAGAAAGAAAAGAGAAAGAAGAGAAGAGAAAGAAAAGAGAAAGAAGAGAAGAGAAAGAAAAGAGAAAGAAAAGAAGAGAAAGAAAAGAAGAGAAAGAAAAGAAGAGAAAGAAAAGAAGAGAAAGAAAAGAAGAGAAAGAAAAGAAGAGAAAGAAAAGAAGAGAAAGAAAAGAAGAGAAAGAAAAGAAGAGAAGAAAAAGAGAAAGAAGAGAAAGAAAAAGAAAGAAAAGAAAGAAAAGAGAAAGAAAAGAAAGAAAAGAGAAAGAAAAGAAGAAAGAGAAGAGAAAGAAAAGAGAAGAGAAAAGAGAAGAGAAAAGAGAAAGAAAAGAGAAAGAAAAGAAGAGAAAGAAAAGAGAAAGAAAAGAAGAGAAAGAAAAGAGAAAGAAAAGAAGAGAAAGAAAAGAGAAAGAAGAGAAAGAAAAGAGAAAGAAGAGAAAGAAAAGAGAAAGAAGAGAAAGACAAGAAGAGAAAGAAAAGAGAAAGAAAAGAGAAAGACAAGAAGAGAAAGAAAAGAGAAAGACAAGAAGAGAAAGAAAAGAGAAAGACAAGAAGAGAAAGAAAAGAGAAAGACAAGAAGAGAAAGAAAAGAGAAAGACAAGAAGAGAAAGAAAAGAGAAAGACAAGAAGAGAAAGAAAAGAGAAAGACAAGAAGAGAAAGAAAAGAGAAAGACAAGAAGAGAAAGAAAAGAGAAAGACAAGAAGAGAAAGAAAAGAGAAAGACAAGAAGAGAAAGAAAAGAGAAAGACAAGAAGAGAAAGAAAAGAGAAAACAAGAAGAGAAAGAAAAGAGAAAGAAAAGAAGAGAAAGAAAAGAAGAGAAAGAAAAGAGAAAGACAAGAAGAGAAAAAGAGAAAGACAAGAAGAGAAAGAAAAGAGAAAGACAAGAAGAGAAAGAAAAGAGAAAGACAAGAAGAGAAAGAAAAGAAGAAAGACAAGAAGAGAAAGAAAAGAAGAAAGACAAGAAGAGAAAGAAAAGAAGAAAGACAAGAAGAGAAAGAAAAGAAGAAAGACAAGAAGAGAAAGAAAAGAAGAAAGAAGAGACCGAAAAGAATCAAAGAAAGACAAGACTAAAACGAAACAAAGAAAAAGAAAAGAAAGACAAAGAATCCCAAAACTGGAGAAGGTAGAATTTTAGCAGGTGGCGGGGGAAATGGAGCATCTTAGAAGTCGGATGGGAAAGGAAACGATGTGTTGGGAACAAAGAATTTTTTTAAAAAATGAGAAATGAAAAACGAAGCTGAAAACAGACAATATTTTGCTGGAGGTGGAGGAGCGAGAGTTTGGGTAGGAGGAAGAGGAAGAGGAGTAGACGAATGGAAGCTTTTAAGTTAAGTTGATCAATACAAAGGGAAGTCAAGTCACGTGTCCCCTTCCCTTCCACTGCTCTAATACTGCCACCGTCACTTGCCTTTCCTCCGTCATCATCTTACCCCACTATTGACCAAGATAAGAAAAATAAGAATGAAAAAAAAAGTAAATAAGAGGCACCTGAGGTTGCAAAGCTGAGTCATTTAGCCATCCGATACTGTACATTTCGAGATTACAACAGAGAATCGGACTTCTTGTTGTTCTGTATCAATATTGCAGAAAGGGCGACAGCGTCGACTGATAATCCATTAAATTCTGAGGTGCTTTCTATTCCGGTTTAGCAGCAAAAACTACCGTGAGTTGCCGAAGCCCACCACCCCCCACGTTGACGAGAAAACTTGGCACGGTTGTGTTTGTGTGCGCCATGGCTTATCAGTTAGATATTTCTGAACTCTGAACTCAGCCGAACCAACAACATCGGAGACTTTTTTTTTTTTTCAATTTTAATGCACTAATAAAATCCATCATACTATAATTTTGCTTATTCCGTCTGTATATGTCATGACCCTTCAGGACGCGAGCGATCATGACTCTCCACAACTTCCTATTCTTTATAGCTCTTAGTAAGAATTATCTCTTCGTTATGTCTCCTATCCATTTACACAAGCTCGTTACGTAGGCTACTCACTGCTTTCCTCTGCCCCTCAATATTTTCTGTGAATGTCAAATTCACCAGAAGTTCTTGCCTTATTCAGTTAAGTGACATTGGGCGATTATGTCTCGATTTCGATTCATTACTGATTAAACATAAGATTTTCCAGCAGTAGGTTGCCATTTCTTTCTGGGATCGATTGGTTGCCAAGAAACCAGTCTGTCCTCTTATTCAACCCATAGATGGAGGGAGAAAAATGGGTTCATATCTTTCCTAACGGTATTTGCGTGTAAGTGAATATAATGAACTTGACTGGAATTCGAATTCGACATCCACTACACCACACGCACATCTTATCGAAACCAAAATAGTATTTCCAGCTTTCCCTATTATGTATCCTACAACTTTCAACTTCCTGTTTCTGACTAAGTATAAGCGTTCCTTTGTGATTCCATTTTCCTTAAAACTTCCCCGTTATTCACATTTTCATGGAATTCTCAGCACTATTTGTTACCTCGTCTGTAAATGCTTCTTCTTCAGATGTCATAACATTTTAAGTGCTCGTTAACACCTTCACCACTGCATTGTGGCCTGGCTGTGCTGGCGTGTTCTTGGAAGAATGGGAAATTGTCATTTACTAGAAATAAATTACTATAAATACATTGACGGCAATTTCTCATGGGAAATACTAATTTGGTTTCGATTGGATAATCTAAAGTCTAAGACTCCTCCACTACCTCCTCTTTAAGCGACTCCAATCCTCGAAAGTCTTAACGATTGGTCATAGTTGATTTTTTCCGAACGGATCTTCATGTGTAAACTGTGTTTCCTTAACTCTTGAAATAACTAACTTAAAATGAAGTCGTTCTATCGTTGTATTTCACCGTCTTTGAAAAAAAATAATAATAATAATTCTTATTATTCTAATTCTTATTATTATTCTTTTTATTATTATTATTCTAATTATTATTATTATTCCTCTTATTATTATAATTATTATTTCTCTTCTAATTATTATTATTATATTATTCTCTTCTTCTAATTATTATTATTATTCCTCTTCTAATTATTATTATTCCTCCTCTTCTAATTATTCTTCTTCTTATTATTATTATTCCTCTTATTATTCCTCTTCTTCCTCTTCTTCTAATTATTATTCCTCTTCTAATAATTATTCTTCTTCTTATTATTATTATTATTATTATTATTCCTCTAATTCTTCTTCTTATTAAATTTTTTGAAGAGCCTTTTGCGTGCCTACCTTAAAATAAGTGACGGAATAACTTCTGTTGTGACAAGAGTAAAATTTTCCTCTCGTTATTATTATTATTATTATTATAATACCAATCCCACGTCGAGAATCCCAACGCACTCTCATTGCTCTTAATTTTATCTTATTTTATTTTTTCATACTATTTTTTAGCCCTTTTTTCTTATATGAAACGTCTCTTCTTGAACTTTATTTACTTTTTTTTTTATTTTTCCCTCCATGGGAGTAGTTAGGTTCGCCTATCGCCCGGTTCACACTCCTACATTTTTTTTTTTTTTTACAGGAGTAGAGATTTATCCTTTGCTTTCTGGTCAGGATTGGGTTTCCGATTCCTTGTAAAATTTTTCGTTCTCTTTCACTCCCAGTAGCCCATTGCGTTTTAGTGGCATTATCGCCTTAATTTTTAAAAAAGTATAGACTAAATGAACACCCAGCATACAATATAATAAAATACGTTGCATAACAGGTCATATTGCAAAACATATGTTTATACAGGTTTAGGAAGAGCAGTAAGCAATAGTTAGTTTATAAGACAAACGCTAAGGACCAACATTTCAGGGTGTCTTGGAATCGTATATATACATCGACAGCAAGCATTGAGAGTGTAAGTATGTCGACGGAAGCGAAAGTGTTAAGTAAAACTAGAATAAGATATTTAACAGCTATATTTTTAGAATATATAAGCATTTTCTTTTTAACAAAATATATTTCCCAGATGTATAGTCATTTCACTATTTCAGTTCCCAGCATTCTTTTGTTCTGATATACCTAGAAAAGGCATGTATCGATTTCTTTCCACCAATACTCGCTTATATGGGTTAAATAGTAAGATAGATTAGGTTCCTTAGCCCTGAGTGTCAACCAGTGTAGGAGAAAGATGAATTCACAACCGTAAAGAAGGCAACGGGAAACCAAGTCATAGCAATTTACTTAATAAAGAAAAAGAATGCGTGGAGATCCATGAGTACAGGCTTTTCAAAACAGGAGAAGTATGGCATATTTTTTAAAAGTGAAATCAGTTTAAATTTTTGATTAGACTTTTAGAAGAGGAAAATTTCATTCGAAACAAAGAATATTAAACTGCTATATTAGCATCACCCACCCTCCTACATAACAGTGAATGCTGGACAATCACTTCACAGATGAAGTGAAGACTTGACACAACAGAAATGTGGTTCTACAGAAGGATGCTGAGAATACCATGCACCGAACATATGAGCAATGATGAAATTTTACAGAAAATGGAAACAAAAAGGACACATACTTATCAGAAAGAAATTTCTAAGGCACATAATGAGGAAAGAGAGCTTAGAAGATTTGATACTCACAGGGCATATCGAAGGGAAGCCATGCATAACCCACCTAACGAGCTTGCATAAATGACTGGCGGAACAGGGATTAGGAGAGATAGAAAAAAGACACTTTATTAAGAGCTGGGTAACAAGAAAGGACTACACACCATGGGTAACAAGAAAGGACTACACATCAATTGTAAGAAGAGAGAATATATGTTCTTTAACAAAAGGGTCAGCTGAAGATACGAGCTACAAAATGGAAACATCAAAATAAAACTGGTAGAGAAATCCAACTATCTGGGAAATGTTATCCAACTATCTGGGAAATGTTTTAACTAATGACGGAAAATGTGACAAAAAATCCGAAGGAGCATTGAAATACCAAATTATTCTAAAATCTAAATAAAGAATTAATACACAGGAAAATTGCTTATGCGGTAATGAATACCGGAATATTTGCTTACAACGAAAGGGAAAACTTGAGGCAACAGAGATGTGGTTCTACATATGAACAGTGATAATATCATGGGCTGAATATTTGAGCAACGAGAAAGTTTTAAGGAAAATGGAATCAGAAAAGACCACTTATACTTAAAAAAAAGCAGTTGAAACTTCTGGAACAATGAATGAAAAAGAAGACTTAGAAAATCTTAGGCTCACAGGATTATTGAAGACAAGAGAGACAGGCAGAAGCAGCGAGTAACTCAAAATTTAATTACCATCGATCGAAAATATCGTCACAACCTCCTTAATTTTTCTAGCGACGCTCATTTGTCACACTCGAGGCAATGTTTACAACTCCCGTGTTCATAGTGTCTTCACATTCGTATATGAATCCCGGGGTATGTGAGCTGAAAATAAGAAGCCAAATCTGGTACAAAATGATTATTCTATCACCTGGTAGATACGCAGGGTCCGGCCTGCTGAGAGAGCATGTTGTTATTGTTCGAACAACTGAGCATGTCTCCTTTGCATGTTGCTGATCCCCAAAGATTATAACGATTTCGACATGTACAATGAAAGAAGCTATGGTTGAAGAAGTGTATTGAACTGAGTATTGCGAAATGTCGCAGCAAAGAATAGAAAATTTGGAGAGGTGTCAAATCTCAAGAAATTGAAACTGAAAGATCTAAACAGAATAGCTTGCAGAAGCACAGGGAAAAAGGTTCCCAAAATGTTCAACCTTTGTATCAAGGAAAGAAAATGACAAACTGCATAGTGAGTGATTATTACTATTTTAGATATAGTGTCCATTCATGATATGAGAGAGCATGGCTCACTACAGATTTCTTCCCTTTGTACTGCTAAGCAACATCTCTCCTGTTAATACATGTTCTGTTACCACAGTACAGCACTTTTATTTTATTTCCCTTTGTTCGCTCCTTTTTAGAATAGGTACATTTTCGGCCAGTCACTACTTTGACCACTTCCTCTTAAGTATTTTAAAAGAAACGAAACCTGCAGAATAAGCGATACGCTTCAGGCACTTTCTCAATCCTCACAATTCTACCACCAAATGAAAGCATCACCGGTATGTTATAC